AAATTCACCTACAAACCGTTCAAGTAGTGATTTTTCATTAAACAATTAAAAACGATATTCTTACCAAAATTGTTATTAAAATTATTATTGGAAGGAGACCAAATCGTCCTAGAACTGAGGAAAAGAGACAAAGTACTTCTCCGTTAAAATCCTCTTTTAAAGATTGATTCTTTCATTGCTTTTTTTCCAGTTTATTGATAGAAACGCTTCCAAAACAAAAGAGGACTAAGAAGATTTAAAACATTTTAAGACTTGTAAACTTAATTATTTCCATTCATCAATAATACGATTAAACAACTATAAATTCTCAATTAGTCCGAAACAAATAAATTCAGAGTAAAAAATCATTTTCCAGTGATGAGCGGTTTACATATAAAATTTTCATATATTCCAATTTTCTGAATTTGTCAGTTTTTTTTGTCAAAATTACTCTTGTTTCCAGTTAAAATATACCGTGACGCGTTCAGGTTGACAATTGGCCGTTAATAAAGTTCAAAACTGCAAGGGGACGAAGTTCGCAAATGCCAAATTACGTAATAGAGGCATTTAAACGTTTGCATTATGATGTTTTACTTCCAGAAACATTTATCACCTAAATGTCGCGTTGGTAGGTAATGCGTCCACTTTTCGTCCGTCCTTAACCTTATGTTTGGACCAATAGTATATGTATCAAATTCTTCGCTGAGTCCAAGAAGTCTGGAAGTCCTTGGGGCTCTAATGACTCGGCCCAAGGTTAGACGTGTTCCACTCACTTGGAGTCACCGTTACCGATTTTCACCACGTTCCCTTGTTTCGTAACGTAATTTCTTTCAGAGGCATCGTGCCCCAACGCTTCCAGGTTACACGAAAATCCCCCAGGCCACAAAAATTAAACCACAGCTGTACGGCGAAAACCGACTTAAACCATTTTCAGCCTTGAGACGAAGCCAGTACCGCACTTTTCATATATATTTTTGGCAGCCTACAAAGCAAAGATAGACACCTTCATCTAAGAATAGAGATCACAACCAATCAAAAACTACTTTGCTCGACATTTAATGAATAGTTTTGGTTTCAGAACTTTCGCCTTTTGAAATAAAACATAATTATATCCTCCTCATCTCTTTGTCTAGCGAATGATAATAGTTCTTCAGCTGATTAAAAGTGATGGGGGTTTACAAATCTAGTCGTTTATAAAGTCAAGCAAATTTCGTAAAACAAGAGTTTTCATTCATGAGTCAATATAATTACAGTAATGATTTTCAAAGGTATAAATACACAGCTTTCAACAGGAAAAATAAGCCTTTCTTAGGTTGTGAATTTAAACATAAAATCAATTTGTATTCTGAATAAAAGTTTCTTTTTTGAGATTTACTTTTTTCTTTGTAGCGAAATCAGAAACGACTATTTGCATAACTGAGAAAAAAATTTCAACCGTTAGGAGAGGGAAAATTTTAATAACTTTATTTCTAAGATTAACTTGAAATCAAAACTAATTTTCATTTAATCACCAATTTACAACTAAAGGGTGGAATAGCTGTGATTTATATTTATCACCTAAACCCATTTGTTTTTTAATCGGCTTTGAAGATAAAAGTGAACGAAATATTGCTTTACAAATTTTTAGGCGAAAAAGTCGGGCGTCAGACATTTCAAAGCGGACATTAAAAAATAATAAGATAAAATTCACTGCGTTGGAAAAATTTCTTTCTTTGAATTAGATTAAACGTGTCTTATCCCCTATCTGTGTAAACCAAGAAGGAACGTCCTTGTAAGTTGAACCCTACCCTTATTTCACAGCTTCAGCGTCTTAGCTGATTCTTATCCACATCACGTTTCACCGCATAGAACCATTATGACATTAAGTTGAATGATTTATTTGCGAATTAAATCCGAAAATTTATATAATGACAGGAACGTACGTTAACTAAAAGAGTAAAAAACCGTAACAATTTAAAGCATTAAAAAACTTTTGTTTATTTTTAATAAACCCATAATTTCAATAAAAAAGCCTAAGTATACTTCAGTACAATAATTAAAGAAAACCATTGTCTTCAATAAAAAAAAACAAACTTGGCATTACATCAAAACATGCACTTCCTCCATAGTTTTACGTGCTCTGACTGTAAAGGTTCAATGTAACGTTGTTTTAAAAGAATGTTGGTTACTTTTTAAAATCCCTAAATAACATATATAGGCGAGGACGTCGACTTTCTCAAGTAATATTTTTTGGCTAGACGAAAAACTATTCTGGAAGGGTTGTCTGCGGAATGCGCCCGTCGTTCCCGAGTTAGATTTACGAACCTTCTTTGTAGAGCGGCTTGCCACCCAGAGCCATTTATTGAAATCGTGCACTTCGGAATCTTCGAACAGTACTGGTCACGCCGGATAAGTAAAAGTCGAAAAATAACACTAAGCAGAAACGTCAGTAACAAAGGACGTTTAAACTGCTGAGACAAATTCTATTGAACAGCTTGGGTTTGATTCGAAATTTTGTTTAAATTTGAGATTAAAATGTCAATAGATACATAAACATTCATCTATCATCGCTTTATGCTAATAGTAACAGTAATATTTATTGTTGGGCCGTTTTAATGCCAGCGTTTCTTACACAAGATTTGAAGTCTAAACAATGCTAACAAAAACACAAACAGTAAAACAAAAATAGACGAACCCTGATAAGATTGAACTTAAAAGATTACATCCAACTGAATCTAAATCAATCTAGAACGTAAGTTGTCAAAAAGATGATTTATTACATTCAGAATAATAATTACAATGAGAGATCTGGAAAGAAATGTATATTCGTCTGGTTTCAAGACGTCAAGGCATGCGGTACAAGTTTTATATCCACCAGTGTCTCAAACACGAAAATGTTCAAGGATATCGGGCAATTTATTTTCCACATCTGCCGATTTTATTTTTCAACGGAGTTGGTATTTCAATTTTCGAAATTTAATACGTATAGAATAAATGCTACATTTGCAAGCATGTTCTCCTAACAACTTTGTTAAACATAAACATAAATCGTAAACCTTTTGTTCTGTCATTTGAACAATATTATTAATTATGTACAGAAACTTTAGATTTAGAGGGGAAACAACGAACCTTTATCGGTGGCAACAGAAGGTCGATTCCACGGGATATAAAATGTACAGGTTTGCTGATTTTGCAATAATTAAAATTGCAAAATTATCAACTTTCTTTGCATAAACATGTTAATCAGTAATTAACATACAAGTCCTATGAAATCTCCCCGAAGGATTTTTAAAATATTTAAACTGTTTTTCATGTGTCCTGATTAAAAGAATGTCTACACAGGAAAATGTCTCGGAGTGATTAGGATAAAAAGCCGAGCTTTCACAAAAAAAGGCAACGTACACAGCGCATGGTTAAGCTCATTCCAAACTTTTAAAATCCCAGCAAAACGACTATTTTAGCATCTGCCAGCTTTTCTATTATTACAATACAACAACTGGAGAGTGTCGGTGGCCGCAACGGTTTAGGCGTTGATACGGCGATCATCACTGATACGATAAAGGTCCAGGGTTCAAATCCAGCGGCCCTGCATTCGAACCCGACATACATACAAATGGGCATTTTTTGCAAAAACAACGGCACCCCGAAAGTTGATACAACCTCTGCTGTTGCGAACCCTCGTAAAATAAAATAAAGAAAGCAAGAATTTAAACAAATGCAAAACAATTCGCCCGCCAGGGGGAAAAATGAAAAATCGGCCTGTATGAAAAGCATTAAGTGGAGTCTTAAGAGTGGCCGGTTACGAAATCGTACGCCTAAGTGCTGAACGCCTTTTTAGGTGATCCCTGGCCAGGTTGGGACATATGCAACAGAATCGCGTGCCCAAAAATGCAAAAAAGCCTGACGATGTTCTCAAAATGAAATCACTCGAGGTTTCAAAACGCCAATTTAGGCGAATTCAGTCTATTAGTTGTACATATAAATGTGTTTTATGATAACTGTGAACTATGATTATAATAATACAATAATTTCCTATTCTTCTTATAGAGTGTTTACAAACGGTCAAGTCACCGTATTCACCTAGTACAGTTTAATGAATAGAAATACTATATTTATGGAGAGGGAATGTTAGTGTTATTATAGTCCTTAGCTAGAAGGATTAGCAAATGGAACAAGGACTGTATATAAATTAACTTAACTTACACGATAAATTTTAAAAAGAGTGGTGTCCCAATTCTTATCCGAAATGGATAAACGATTATATGAATTAGCACAATCTTAAAATAAAATTGTGAAATTTTCTTACATACTGTCAGCTTATTTAACTATTAATTCGACTTTTGTTAAAATCAACAGGCAATTTAATACCTCAATAATACAGGTCTGCCAGAAGCGCGTAGGATAATCAATCATTGCCTTGTCAAGTTGATAAACTATCACTGGCAAGCACTCAGAAGCTTTCAAATTAATGCGACGACTGCTAATTCGTAGATACTGCTAAATAGATTTATGAGACGACAGTGCGAATCACAGACCCAATTCCCTAGTGCAGATTTTCATAGGAATGGGACAACTGGTACTGCTACTACTAAACCAGCTAATGGACCAGCTGTAATATCTATTGAGATATTTTACGTAACAATATAACAAAAAATAAAAATGTTTACGTCCAAAAGTACACTGATATTATAGACGGAAGCCCGAGATCAACGCGAATGCTATAAGTTAAAAAAAAAGTATATGCAATAAATAAACTCTCACTAAACGGACGCTATGAAATAGTAATAATTAACTTTAGGAAAATCAAAACTAAAAAATATTGTGTAGCATAACTAATGAAGATGATGTAATTAAAATAAACACTATTAGAGATCTCTCAGCTATCATTAAAAAAACATTTAAATGTTACATGCTACCAAACAAATACGATTACTCCATTCTACACAATTATCACGTAGAAGACTGAAAATAATGTAAATAAGAAGAGAGCACTTATGGTTAATATCATATTATTAATTTAGAGCGGCTACCAATGGGGAGCTTTCTCTATAACGCCCGTAATGTCCCAATCACAAACTGAAAAATCATTTGCTGGTTTTATGTAATACATGTACAGTTGAAGTCAAAAAGTAAGATATCAATCGGAGTTTTATTTGACGTCAACAACGCACCCCTATGCAAGTATAAAAAGGAGTGGAAAATGAGGTTAAAGTAACAGAGTTTCGACGGATTCAGCCGGAGACTTGCCGTAATGCTTGAAATATCCCATGGTACAAATTGACGTTTGGGTCCGTAGGGTAAGTAAACTTTGACCGTGGAATAGACAAAAAAATGGGGCCTATATTAAAAACAACCTGCACCCACCATGCATAAAGTTATAAAAAGATTTTGAGATATTCATCACGATCCATACTTTGATTCGTATAAAATCCAACAGTGTAGACGTAACAAATCGAAATACTACGAACTAAAATATTTAAATAAGCCCTTTACCTTCACCTGCATTGACGTCGATGTGATCACGGTAGACAAATCATGTCTACATTTATTTCATATAATCTACACTAACATAATAAAGAGAGGAAGTTCATAATTTTTATGTGTTAATGTGAAAATCGTGAATAATAATTGAGATTAAAAAAACACACATAAAACTAGCAGACGTTAACGTATAGGATACTTTTTAATAATTATAAAATCGCAGATAAGATAAATCTGCAAACTAAAAAACAATAATTATAAAATTTAAAAGATAACGCTTGAACTCTTGAATGAGAGTAACGAACGAGCATTGACGTTAAACATGCATAAGTAGCAGTAATTACTTTTTATAACTTTGTGAATCAAAGATTAGCATTTTTTCTAACTGGGGTTTTCACGTACATTTAGCAATTGTCCATTTATTTGGTTTTAGAAAATAGAGAAAGGTGCCGAAACCAGAGAAACCAACACAGCAATGAGTGGAAGTCTAAAATGATCAATAATGACCAAATTACAGGTCCATCACCAAGCAGGCCATATACAGAGTTCTCACTATTTCGTTTTAATCTTCTGTTTGTCTACGGATATAAAGCCTCCTGTTCTTGAGCAAATACTTGCAATAGTTATACTTTTATTTTTTGTGGTTTAATGGATATTTTTAAATAAAAAATTAAATTGAATGAAATAATTTTCTTGTTGCTAAACAAACAACTAAGAAAATGTCTTACTCTTGCATAGATGATAGCTTGCATTAGACGTGGTAACGATGTTATGAAGTTTTGCATGCAGTGCTGTGGAATATTTTCGTATTCCTCCAACAGACCCATTCTTAATTCCCGCAAATTCTCTGGCATCACTGAGCGATTTTTTACCTTCTTTGACAACTCCTCCCAAAGGTGTTCGATAAGGATTAAGTCAGGACTTCACGCTGCCGACTCCAAACATTGAATTGAATCCTACAAGTAGTCAATCAACGATCCTAGCTTCAATCATGCATAAAAAACCCACCAATTATTGTCGACAATTAGTGGCATATAAGGAACAACTACTTCTGACAACACATCTTCAATGATGAGCAGCTATTCGGCAACTACCCATAAATATCAATTTTGTGCGACCTTCCATAGAACTACTTGCCCAAATTGCAATACCACCACCTCCATAGATTCCCGGATCGAAATTGTTGCGGGATCTTATCGCTCTACTGTTCTTCTTCAGTCCCTCTTTCGGCCAGTAAACCTCAAACGAAACCTTCCAATAACTAGATTTTAGTACAGTCTTGCTCAGGCCAATTGATGCTTTTTCTTGCAAAACTTCAACGAGCTGTACTCTGCCTTGTCGGAAGTTGTAGACCAGTGGCAGGCTTTCTCGCACGAAATCCACCTTCTGAAAGACTTCACCTAGCAGTGCGTAAACTAACTTGTTAAGTCGTTGCTTGATCTCAAAAGCGATAGAATGTCGATTACAGAATACATTCGAAACAATAAAATGATCAACTCTCTGAGATGTGAACGATGGCGAACTGATCCATGCATTCTTGAGTAACTTTCGGTATCTTGGTAACGACGAAAGACCCTTCGGACATTTGTTCTGGGATTGTTAAGCAGCCTGGCCATACGTTTGCCTTCTTCCATTTTCCGACAATGGTATGATTCTAGTCGAATCTGTATCACTTAAAACCTTCACTCAAAGAAATTTGAAATTTAAAAATGGTACAACTCAAAAAAATCAAACCGAAACGTAGAAAGATGCTTAAGAGAAAAATCAACAAAGAAGAGATTGACTATTCAAAGATTTATTTACGAAATTCAATTGTAAACACAAGTGGGAGTTTTATTTACATCTAATACTTTAAAACGGACCAAATATTTCTGTAAGATAATTAATGAAAGATAGATAGTCTATAAGATAATTAAAATTATTAAGGGTGACCACTTTTTTTGCCTCTTAACCTACAGAATAATTTGAAGTAATGACGTACAGTGGTCAATCTGTGTCATTATCATAACAATGGATAGGGAATTAAAAATTAAATTTAAAATGTGAACTAATTAAGAAAATATTTCAATGTTATCAGTTTAAGAACATACATGAAGTACTAATGTACTTTTTAAAAAAATTTCTTGCACGGCAAGAAGTTAATACGGAAATGTATTAAGAATTTGTTGTCTTATGTGTGTTAACAAAATTTTTTGCCCTACATTTTAACAAATGAATATGAAATAGATTAAGAAGTGCGATATTTTAAATCTAACCTGGACTGTTAGAAATCCGATTTCTATGTATGTAATTGCAAGAAAAAAATCATTTCGCAGCATTGGTACCTAAGTCCAAACGTAACCCAAATGACCTATAAAAAGTATATATAAAATAATATTTGGAATGATGACATACAGTATGTTGAATCTGTCCAATCATCATAATGATTAGGAATTTACAAAAACAAACTTAAAATGTAAACTGGTCAAGAAATATTGCAAGGATATAATTTTACGAATATACGTGATGTACTAATGTGCAACAAGAATTTAGTATAGACATTTATTTAAAATGTGTTGTCTTATTTGTGTTAACAATATGTTTTGAGTTATAATAGATATAATATATTAAGATATAATACATATTGAATTTAGACCTTTAGAAATCCGAATGAATACAAAAAATATCATTTTATCATTGCAGTATTGCTTTTCTCCAAACTTAATCCTCTCAGACACAGTCCCTACCGATAATAAAAATTAATGATATAGCTATTTTATAATAATGAATATAAGATAAATTAACTATTGTGGAAATGAGCAATATGAAGGTAAGGGCAGACCGAATGCAAGTATTGATGTTTACAGCTGTTACTGAACCTTCCAACCTTATACAATCTACAGCGAACATTCTGGAATATTCTAGATTTCTAACAAAAAAGCCAGTAAACTTAACGTAAAATATTAAATTGTCATTTTGATCATTTTGTGGTTTTGCGTTTAACGATGTACAAACGAACATGAACAATCATGTGCCTTTCTAATGTGATTTATTTTTGTTTCAATCTGTTAGGGTTCACGACAAAATGGAAATTGCATATAATTTTAACGAAATTAAACTTATACAGGATTAATGTTTTACACTTTTAGTGTTAATATATAACAATAATAATTTAATCGTAATGAGGAAAAATTTCAACAATCTGCATAATGTTGACTGTTTATTTTTAGGCAAATGGTAAAACTAAATATCAACGTTAGATAAAATAGAAGACTTTTAAAATAATAGTTTTAAGTGATGTTTTATGCTGTTTCACTGGTCGTGCAATAACGCTATAAAAATTGAATGGTAAAGAGGTCAACGTTTGGTGATGAGGTCGATAACGTCAACGTTAGTGGGCTTATTTGTAAGATTTTTCGCCCTATTGTGTCGACAAAGGGGTTTAAACAGAGCATGTAACAACAATGACAATACGACTGAATAAGAGGTACGTGTAATCATAAAACTATTTCTCATTTTTTGCCCCTAAATATTGGTCCGTCCAGGCATAAACATAGTACATTCCTGTTCAGGCGTGTTTTGAAAAATTATTCATGCGGCGAAACCATTTTTTTATATTGTCATTAAATATGTGCAAGATCAAGTTCGTAAGAGCGACTTAAATGTAAATTTTTTTTTAAAGGTGAGCGTGGAAAAATGAAGATAAAAATGTGCTTAGACATGATTTCTTTTTAATATTCAATTAACGTTCTACATTTTTTAAAATGTGAGAACATTTTAAAGAGTTGAAATGTTATTCTGTATTCTAAACCGAAAGCCACGTGTTTTACGTAACGGTCCAATGCACAATAGCAGCAGTTGCAAAAGATTTTCAAGTACCTGTTTGTCTGTTCGCAAAAGTGGAAAACCAAATCGGGGGGTCCTTCGAACTTGCGAAAGTCCCGAAAAATCCCTCTGCCTTATTTCCTTTCTCTAGCGGGAAATCACTCTGCAGTTGTAAACGACCGAGGAGCAGAATGCTACCACGAGCACGAACTGAAGCAGACTGAGCGCTCTGAGTGGAAGAAGGGACAGATCGCCCCTCCTGGACGCGGACCCGATCCCCCTCATTCCAGTCTTTTCTTTGCCGCCGTCCTGGTAATAAATTGTGAGAACGACGGCCCAGTATTAATTACATATCATGTATTAATTTTTTACATAGAAAATTACAGACAACTCCTTAATCCCGTACCACAATTAACAACCTCTAAATATTTAGAAAAAATTGTAAAAATTACATATTTCATTATTGCAGCAAACAATTAACAAGAACATTTTTATTAACTTTTTAAGCTTTAAAGATGTAAACTATAAGATTAATAAATATAAAAATATAAAACATCACTGACAGGCAACAAATTCCACTCAATTGATTTTTTTCCATTTTCTCGTTAAAAGAAAATTCTTCCCTTCATTTGTCTCATTGTTTTTATCAATAAATATTTGTTTATGCCATGTTTTAAATTGGGAATATCAGTTTGAAGTAAACACACTTAATCCTTAAGCCAAAACAAGGATAAAGGATTTTTCAATGTTTACTTCTTACGGAATTTAAAATGTTTATTCAGTCTCATTTGAATTCTGAGGCAATAAACTGTTTAGTTTTCATCTTTGTTTTCTTAATTTTAACTGTTAAATTGCGCGTGGTGTGGCACGTATTAATGATGGATGTTCCATCAGGTAAGCGGCTATTGCCATCGGAATCCCCTGAAACACTGCGAGACATCGTTAGTTTTCGAGAACCTGGGTCCTCCCGTAGAAGGCCCGGTTCAGGACGCTCTGGGTAACAGAAACACAG